CAGCGGATTAATATATCGTGACGTCACGGATTTTAATGCTAACAATGGACTTGAGGGGCTTGCTGCCCGGCTGTGTGAGTTTTCCCGTCTCACATGGCCGTCTCACACGTTACTAGAGGCAACCAGTGATGATCAATAGCAACGATGTGACGTCACTTATTATATCACTTCTAGCTAAGGAAAACAATATGACGTCATACTATTTCACAAACAAGTACGAATACAACGGTATGACGTCATATTGTTTCAAAGCGAAATCAAAAATTATAATAGTTACCAGAAGTACTGAACACAATCATAACTGACCAAATCAAAATGCTTCAAAATTCCTAGACATGTGATAAAATCGTCATCACACGTTTCAGCTTATGTGATACAGGAAATATTCCACTCGGGTAACAATGTATCACCACTCAAGCTTCGCTTTCGTGGATGATACAGTATTACCTTTCGTGGAATATTTCCTGTATCACATGCTGAAACGTGTGATAACTGATAGTATCAAACGAAGGTATCGGTCTATCGGACGGAACCTTCGCATCAGAGATGGCAGATAGTAAGTGTCGATTTGAATAATTTTAGTTTTCATCACGTTAGTTGATGTAATGCGTTGATATTTGAACTATAACAGATATATCGGGTGTCCCAAAAAACGTCACACTTTTTGACTTGCAATATCTCAGTTCTTTGAAAATTCTCAGGGACCAAATTTAGGCTGTTTGCAGTTAGCACTGTAAATATCAAAGCTATCTGATATGAATCCTGTGAGAATTGCTCAATACACAAATGCAAGTCAAGAAATACAATATCAGGGCAACTTTCCTATTTCAACCTGTGTTCAATACTCTTCCACTACCAATCGTTGCCGTTTTTTCCATCCTGATATGGTCTTGCGAATTTCATCTAAAGTGATTTCCTTCCAGGAAGCAAAACTCCTGTCCTTAATTCGTGCTCTTTGAATTTGTCATTATATCCATGGTACACCTTTCCTTTAAAGAGTCCCCAGCCTTTTTTCTTGAAAAAAATTCTCAATGGTAGCTTTATCTCAATTTCTAGAAACGATGATTGCTATTTTCCAAATGACACTTTGGAATGAATCTGTCTTGGACACAAGTGTCAATACAAGAATCTCACCAGCTTGACATCTAGATGATTTAAATAGGTTGACACTGATTGCCAACTTCTGCAAGGTCAATGCTGACAACAGTTTCAAATCACCTTGGCAACCATACAAGACTTAGTATCTGACCTGCATAAGCATTTCGCCTGGTATAACTGGGTGCAGAATGCACTTCTCAGGTGAACCAACACTGATATTGCATTTTTCCACATGCTTTTTTGTTCTGGGCAGTTCGTCAATAATATGAGGTGGATTGTTTTATCTTTTCACAGTCAATACAAAATATCCTGATCTCAATGGTTACAAAAATTTATTGATTTCAGTGCAAAGAAACCTGAGAAATTGCTAGTCAAAAGGTGTGAAGTTTTTTTGGGACACCCGATATATATGACATGGATGTGATATTTGTTCATATACCATGCGTAGTCACCACAGTCAAATATGGTTGGCTTTCCCGCTCAATATGTATGCATGCGTTGTTTATGTTGTGTAGGCGTATATTACGCCCGAGCAGATGTAAAATTAAGCCCATGCAGACGTAAAATTACGCCTGTGAAGGGGTAAATTACGCCCGTGAAGAAGTAAATTCTACAGGCGTTCAAACAACATTTACGGGCGTAAACTTACGGCGATTAATTACGGGCGTTACGACGTGATTTTACACGCGTTAAGAAAATCTTCTCGCCCGTCGAGTTTATTTTTAGCGCTGTAAATTATGAACCAATCAGCACCTTGCTTACATAATGATTAAATGCATCCTGACTAAGAGAGCAACTCCAAGATCCTTGCACAAGTAAATAACAATCAGAAGCCCGCTTTCATTTTAGAGTGTTGTATAGAGGTCCTTAAATATTCGTTCAAAATTGTTAGACTTAACCAAAAAAGTATTTTATTTTAGAGCAAATTGAAAGGAAAATTGAAGATACGGTGGGAATAATGTTTCATATGCCATCAATTGCAATAGTTGTTCCAATCGTGAGTATGTTATTAACTTGCACAATGATCTTGGAGTTGCACTTGTAACTAGAAGGCATTGTATCATTATGTAAACAATATGCTGATTGGTTCATAATTTATGGCGCTAAAATAAACTCGACGGGCGTCTCCACGCGTGTTAAATTACGTCTTAACGCCCGCAATTAAGCATTTTAACGCCGTTAGTTTACGCCTGTATACGTTGTTTTAACGCGTATAGAAATTACTTCTTAACGGGCGTAATTAGAGAGGTTAAGCAAGACGATTTTTTATGACGCGAACCGCAAACGTAAACCTTTACGTTCCCGTTTACGTACTATGAACAAACGTGGTTTAAGCTGAGCACTTTAGACGTAACGCAAACGCAAACCTCAAAATGATTTTTTTTCTTTTTCTTAGCGGCGTTTCGTTTTATTTTCTACTTTAAAAGTATAAAAAATATTACTTTATTGACAAATTGAAGTGTTAACAAAGGAGATGCTTCACACCCTGGTAGTGTTCTATGACATCTTGAATCTTACAAAATACAACTGGACGCAATAATATCTTTAAAGCAAGTCTTCAAGGCATTCATAGTTTTATTACTATGGTGTCACAATATGTATAAAGAATTAGGATGAGTTGACATGTGGGTAATTGCAATTGCATGTAATCTCATCAGATTTTACATATGGAATGGGTGCCTCAATATTCAAGTTATATTTGATTAGATTGGACACAAATGATCTCGATGTATACACAGATTTGTGTCAAACATATTTATATATTCGACCTATATCATATTCATCTCAATCGAACTTGATAAAGTATGAAAAATCCTTTACGGAATGACCTACCTAGACTTTGATTTTTCACGTTTGAATGTACGTAAACCGGGAAATAAGTAGAACAATATGACGTCACATCCTGAGAAAAACCTGCGCGCGCCTTCCCGTTCGCGGTTTACGTTGTAAAAAGTGGTGTTGCTTAACCTCTCTATTAACGCCTCAACACGGGCGTAAATTGCGTCTGCACGGGCGTAATTAACACCTACACACCCATAAACAACGCGTGCATACAGTGGGTAGGTTGGCAAACCCTAATATTATGTTAATTTCTGGCGTTTTTATTAATAAAATAGCTTGTTGTTTCGGATAAAGGTAAAGAAAGGTTAATGAATATGCTTACTTCGATTAAAACATCACAACAACGTGTTATTTTCGAAAACTAACTGGTGAGAAGTTGCGCAAACGAGGTTGTACGCAAGAGACGTAATTATATCTGTTCACTATACTTATGATTCAGATATATATTGCTTTTCTGAGGGATTGTTATCTTACCTGAGACTTCATTGTGTTTCGTGTTTTGTAAAACGTTTGTCCAGTGTTATTGGGCGATAAATTGGATATTAAGCAACAACTTCTGTTACAGTGGCTTATTAGATCAAATAAACCAAAACATGACATGTAATAGAGGTTAAGGTGCAGCGTTGTTGACATAGTTCTAGTAGTAATTGTAAATCTTAAAATATGACATTATGTAGGTATACTTACAGTACATGACGTTACTTTATTTACAGAACTTGAGGATTCAGAGAATAATGAGATTTTAACTTGTGAAATCCGTGAAATTAAATAGCCGCGAAATTTCTCAAAATTCGCGAAATTGAAACTCCGAAATAAACCGGGAGTACAGATTTAAATGTGATTTTGAATTCTAGTTTTTGTTGGATTTCTATCCATTTTCTATCTATTTCTAAAGTACATATAATCCCCATATGAAACACTGGCCTACGTGACGTGTAATATATGTTCAAACTGAAATATAGAACATTTTCAACCATTTGCTTCCGTGTTCTGTATGCCCATCTTTCTGCTTAATAAGGTAATGTACCTTAGCCAAGTGTGAATCTCAAATTTTGTCTTCCCGATTTCAGTCATGAATTACGTCAATTTCGCGTGCAAACTTTGGGTACACGTTGTTATTCCCGGACGCCCAAACGTGTCAGGAACACATAGATACTTGAATGATCTTGATTGGACATCAGGTTGCAGAGAATTCGTAATTCTACTGAGTGGCTTCACGAAAAAATAAAAAGGTTGTTAAAAGAAATCATTTACAAGTTGCCAGGCGTTCTGCAATCCGATTTCAGATTAGGCCTTTCAAATCGATTCTGCGAATTCTTTAGTTGAAATAGGCCTCAAATAGCCAGCAAAAGTAGAATTTTCAAGATTAATATCGAGGTCACCGCACTAAGACATAAACCCACGTGGCTATATTTCTCAAGATTTGAGACTACACATTAATATTTTCCCTAAAATTCGAGGAAAGCACTCCTTCAAAGCTTCTATACGTTTTGTAAATCATTATCTGCAAAGATTTTGCACAAGTTTTAAGTTTGCACAAGTTTTAAGGCATGAGATATAATATAAGAGTTCAAAAACAGAAAATTTCGAAAATCGATTTGAAAGGGCTGATGTTCAAGGTTGGAGTAGTTAACAAAACGAAGTTAGAGTTAAACTATAGGGTTAGGTTAGGATTAAAGCTAGGATTAGGGTTACAGCTAGGATCATGGCTCGAGCTAGGATTAGGTTTAGGGTTGGAGTTAGGGTTAGAACGAGGGTTAAAATCTAGGGTTATGGTTAAAACCAGCTAGGGTTAGATTGAAAACTAGCCTTGGGGATAAGCCTAATGTTAGGGTTATACACGGGTCTTTCATAGGTTTGTTGAGGTTGCTGTCAGATACTATATTCTAAGCTAAACAAATGAACTTCTTGTTTTCACTCTTTTGTCCTCAAGGTCCTCCTTAAAACATTAAATCCAAACTCTAACAAAATGCATCAAAAGCAGAACTGTAGACCAAGTTGAAATCGGCTTAAGTTATCGAGTAATATGCAATTGAAGGTCATCATGATGTTGTACTAACCTTGCCTGATAAACGATGTCCTACGAATAGCTTTCAGATGACTTTCAAGTTTATCTGTCAGTTCTTGGATACCTAAAATGCAATATATTTTTCAATTTCTGCTTTAAAGATTTTAATGACTTATATAATGATTGTTTAATTCTTACATCATACAAATTACACACATGCGCATACAGCATACAGTGGGGTTTAAAATTTATTCCAACGTAAATAAATATATCGGAAAATAAAGGCACATAAATTCAGTCACATAATGTTATTACAATTACACTTTTCCAACCAGGCACTACCTGAGACAACATCAATTACACAACACAATCGGACACAACCCGATGCCTAACCCCATTCGGAACAATCTGACATACGCCTAAATAGGACAATCACAACATATCCGTCATTAGACATAACAGCCACTCATCTAGATGACTGCAATGTCCAATGGCATATAGGTACAACCTAAACACAAACAAATCACAACATTGCCGTGCCGTCGTTAGACATAACAACCACTCAACTAAATGACTGCAATTCCAATGGCATATAGGCACAACCTAAACACAAACAAATCACAACATACCCGTGACGTCATTAGACATAACAACCACTCAACTAAATGACTGCAATGTCCAATGGCATATAGGCACAACCTAAACACAAACAAATCACAACATAGCCGTGACGTCATTAGACATAACAACCACTCAACTAAATGACTGCAATGTCCAATGGCATATAGGCACAACCTAAACACAAACAAATCACAACATACCCGTGACGTCATTAGACATAACAACCACTCAACTAAATGACTGCAATGTCCAATGGCATATAGGCACAACCTAAACACAAACAAATCACAACATACCCGTGACGTCATTAGACATAACAACCACTCAACTAAATGACTGCAATGTCCAATGGCATATAGGCACAACCTAAACACAAACAAATCACAACATAGCCGTGACGTCATTAGACATAACAACCACTCAACTAAATGACTGCAATGTCCAATGGCATATAGGCACAACCTAAACACAAACAAATCACAACATAGCCGTGACGTCATTAGACATAACAACCACTCAACTAAATGACTGCAATGTCCAATGGCATATAGGCACAACCTAAACACAAACAAATCACAACATAGCCGTGACGTCATTAGACATAACAACCACTCAACTAAATGACTGCAATTCCAATGGCATATAGGCACAACCTAAACACAAACAAATCACAACATAGCCGTGACGTCATTAGACATAACAACCACTCAACTAAATGACTGCAATGTCCAATGGCATATAGGCACAACCTAAACACAAACAAATCACAACATAGCCGTGCCGTCGTTAGACATAACAACCACTCAACTAAATGACTGCAATTCCAATGGCATATAGGCACAACCTAAACACAAACAAATCACAACATAGCCGTGACGTCATTAGACATAACAACCACTCAACTAAATGACTGCAATGTCCAATGGCATATAGGCACAACCTAAACACAAACAAATCACAACATAGCCGTGCCGTCGTTAGACATAACAACCACTCAACTAAATGACTGCAATGTCCAATGGCATATAGGCACAACCTAAACACAAACAAATCACAACATAGCCGTGCCGTCGTTAGACATAACAACCACTCAACTAAATGACTGCAATGTCCAATGGCATATAGGCACAACCTAAACACAAACAAATCACAACATAGCCGTGCCGTCGTTAGACATAACAACCACTCTGTAAATGACTGCAATGTCTCATAGCACAAAGGCACAACCTAAATACAAACAAATCTCAACCAAAAGCTTTCTCATGAGGCTGCTGATGAAGAACATATCATGGACCACCAACCATGAGTTCGAAACATCTTGGGCCCCTACTGTGACTCACACGTAAGGGAGAAGATCCGCTACATCGGATAGGGATGTCTTCAATGAGGAACATTTATCCTTTTACAATATAACACTTGCTGGTCACTCTTTATTAATCAATATTGAAGGAACTAAGAATAAAATATGAATTGATGTGCAATGAAGTGGTTATAATATTACAGAGGCAATCAAAAAACTTCGAGAAATTGTTTCGGTTAAATATCTAAAATGATACGACTAAATTTTATCTTGTTAACATATGAAAGATGTACTTTGTTTGATAACAATATAATGTCTGATATATGCATATCAGGCCTCCTAGACTTCCAACAATGCGAACATCAGTTCTGACCTCGCGAACTACGTTCCATGCGCTCGAACCAGGATTCTCACGTCGCGAACGTGAAATCTTATGTCAGGCACCACCATTTCCACGCTCCTGAACATATTTCTCCACTCGCGAACAAAAGTCATTTTTTTGTTTTTATTAACCAGCCCTTTCACTGAAATTTCAATGCGTGGGATCGCAAAGTAGACTAGTCTCTATGTTTTATCATCATGATAAACCATGTCATCTCATTTCTTTGGTTTGTTCCCATTCCGCCCCTTCCCATTTCGCCCCTCATTTACTCCCATTTCGCCCCTTCCCAATTGGCCCCTTTCTCATTTCGCCCCTTTGCCATTTCTCCCCTTTTCCGTGTTGCCTCCTTCCCATTTCACCCCTTCTCCATTTCGCCCCTTCCCATCTCACCCCTTCCCATTTCGTCCCTCATTTATTCCCATTCGCCCCTTCCCAATTGGCCCCTTCCCATTTCGCCCCTTCCCATTTCCTCTCCTCATTTATTGAATGAAACATCCGATGATCTTTTGTAAATTTTACCAGATTATTTGGCTGTGAAATTAGAACATAATGATACGACGTCAGATACTGTAGCCTTCATCACGGCATTTTACTACAATTTAGCATGCGTACCTACTTTTAAAAAACTGATATCTTGGCAACAAAATACTATTTTTCTACAATTTTTCGTCAACAGATATGGATATATGTCCATCTCGTATTTAGCTCATCAAAATGCACGATTATTAATTTTTGAAATTCTAAAATGAGGATCACGCACTCCTTATAAATTTTATAGGCTATAAAACAGGGTGTCGACTGTAACATTTTGAAAAATAATGATTCAAATTTTAGACTGAGTAAAATAAACATAACCTTTTTAATCTCGCACATATCTTTTCAGATTTTCACAATATTTCAATCAGCCAGTTTAAAAAAGAGTGGCTTCTGTGCACAGTGCAACAATGCTCATTTAACGCTAATATTTTCGATCAAAAAGTGTCGACAAACCGAATTTTAAAACAACAGCTATGGGATATATTCATCAATAACAATAAAATCGTTTGCCTGAGGTGATTTACTTTTTTATACCCTAAAAGTACACCGAATTCTTCATTTTCATCTAACAAATATCTCATTTTGATTCATGTTAAATCCGTATGATGAACAATACAAATGTTAGGTGAAATGTTAGGTGAAGCCATGAAATAAAATCACGAAATTACGTATTCAGATATTTCTAATTGCACCTTTCATAAGGCATCATGTTTTGACAATAAAGTCAAACTGGAGCGTACATTAATCTGAATAAAACCTGTAATTTTCAAGAAGACACTCTTAAAAATGAATTACTTGAGTATTTCCCAAGTATTTCCCAAGTATAAAAATTACTTAAAGTTAAATAATTAGTTTTACTTCATTTTACTTAGGTTTAACTTATATTGTCATTTTGAGTTTTTTAATTGCTTAAAGGCAGAATCTGATCTATAGGGGGTGACAAAATTACAAGCAACATGTATAATTGACCTACCAATCTATTCCTTACAATATCAAATACAATATCTCCCAAAAGATTCACAATATGTTATAAATTGGTGAAGTTATTAATGATTCAAAGTGCAAAAAAAAGTGAAAAATGTTTAAATTCTCCCAAATAATAAGAATGGTAACCATTCTTATAGAAAAATAATACATTATTGTAAAAATCTTTAGTTTTCCTGAAATAAAGTATGCACTTTTCTGATTTTTAGAAAATAGACATGACAAGGAATGACATGAGCCAAAAACATTCTAAAATTGAAACAATTTTTTGTTTAGCCTGCTCGCTATATCTGATTCTCTCTTTAATTATGTAAATGAGTATTACAATTACTACAGTTAGTATTTCAATTTCTCTCCTTGCATTAGTAAATTCACCATAAATGAATTACTTAAAAATTACTTAATTATTCAGTAGTTCAAGATTATTTAAGTAATTTTTGACTTAAAATGAGTAGTACAATTTCTCAATATAAGGAAATCCAAGTAATAATTTTTAAGAGTGGATCCCTAGAGTTTAAAACTTTTACAGTAAGTCTAAGGAATGTTGCTCATATTTATCGCGTAAATCGTATCATTATATACTACATGTATCTGTTTGGATCTTTATTCGGTCAAGTACCATCAAATCATTACATTTTTTTATCGCACCCTTGGGTGCTATATTGTGATCAGTTTGCCGGGCGGGTGGGTGGACAGGCGTCCATATTAATCTTGTCTACAGGTTTCCAGCCAAACCGTTTGAGGGATTCATTTGTAATTTTCAGGGGTGTTTCTAACTATGAACGTTTAGAAATGACTAGTTTTTCGGCATTCTGGGTAAATATTAAGGCGGCCATTTTGGATTATCCGTCCTAAAATCTTGTCTGTCAATCCATTCGTTCACTGGTGTCAACGTATAAATCGGGTGTCCCAAAAAATGAGCCGCTTTGTGACAATTGATAAGCCAAATTGTTTGAAACTTTTTATTTAGGAGACCATAGGGTATTATTAGCATCTGCTTTAAATATAAAAGAGATCACTTACATATTATGTGAGCATTGTTAAATTAAAAACAGCATGTAAAAATATCCAGTATCAATGGAAAGGTCACCCATTTCTGTATGAAAGAAGCTGTTTTTGACAAGTATTTTCTCAGCAATACATTGGCTGAATTCTTTGCAAATTTTTATTTTTGAAATATATCGTATCATTAGCAAGTGCTATGAACATGAAAGAGATTGGTTAAACATTATGCAAGAATTGTCAAATTTAAAACACTACGTAAAGCATGCTAAAATATCCAATATCAACGGAAAAATTA